AGAGAGAGAGAGAGAGAGAGAGAGAGAGAGAGAGAGAGAGAGAGAGAGAGATAGAGATAGAGATCTTTTCAGTGGAGCGAAATCGATGCGTAATTAATACATATAAACATATAAATCATAAACAGGCAGATTGTTCCGTTTTGGAATTTATGCGTTTCAATGCACATTAAGAGAAAGCTATCGAGTCAGCCAGCCAGCCAGCCAGGCAACGGAGCAAGAGCACAAACACGAGTACGACCGAGCTAACAAATTATTCGCTTGAAAAGCACTTGAACACTGAGAGCTGAAGTGGGTCGTCGATTTGATCTTCGAAGTACCGAATAAAATAAAATGGAATGTGCACTGGAGGAATGAGTAGAATAATTATCGACACTTATACCGATATAACATTTTGATTTTATGAACCGAGCAAAAAAGGCAGGAAAGATATGAAATAATGGTCCAACAACGATGGGGAGTGTAAAGTGCAAAATGTTGTTTTTTTTCTTTCGTAAATACGAATGAATGGGGCCAAAAAAAAAACAACACTCGTTCGCATTGCCAATTAGATTGCTCTTTGTTATGCTAAAATGACAAAATTTTGTGATTGTTACGATGGAAAAAAGAGTGTATATATGTGTGTGTGTGTGTGTGGTCCATTCGCAGCTTTTGTTCTTTAAGCGCGCGATTTTGGTCCTTTTTTGGTTGCTTGGCTATGCAAATTTGTATGGCACGCTCCGCTTGAAATTTAATAAAGCTTTGTATATGAGAGCCAGCAACAATATGATTGCGAACCATGTATATATGGTACGTTTTGTTATTGTTTGAGGGGAAACATACGTGCGCAATATACAATATCCGTTCGTTCCTTAATTTTTTGCTCCGGAGTATTTTATTTCATTCGTCTTGTTTGTTCGACTCGTACCATATACGGAATTTTATGTATGATGCGACTTAAGGCACCCGAGCAACAAACAAGTTTTGATGAATTACCCGTCCGGCCTCCAACACTTCTTTCCCGAGCAAGAAAAAAAACCATTCTGGAACATATGGATTTCATAGAGCTGAACGGAATATGGCCCGATACGAATTATTTTGATTGCCAGACGTTTTTTTCTTCTTCTATGATTCTGAACGGCCACGGACAAACATCGCCGAACCGAAAAGCGGAAATCTATGTGTTTGGGAAGAAATATAAATCTATCCGTTTGGCACATCAAACACTTTATTGATCTGTTTCAATTATACGCACTTGATGAAACGTGCGTGCGGTTCCATAAATAACTACCGATTATTATAAGGCATTCAGTGTGTGTGCTTCTTCTTCTTTTTTTTTAAATAGGATATGTGTGTTATATCCTTTTCTCTCGCTTCTTTTTGGCAAACCACATTGCATGCCACATTAGTGGTTTTTATGTTACACTACGATATGCTTCCCACGCTCTCTCTCTCTCTCTCTCTCTCTCTCTCTCTCTCTCTCTCTCTCT